AGACCAGATGGTGGATCAGCACTTAGAGAGGACCTCTACAGCCCTGAAAGACAGCGGAGACCAGGACAACTAGATGAGTCCCAGATACAGATGTTATTCCCCTGTAAAGACCTTGTCTCAGACGGCCACCGGGACAAGACCACAGGAACCAGATGAGTCTTCTGCACAATGTGACTTTGCTGCAGCCCTTTAATTGAACTGCTCCCCGACTGAGCCTGGTTTCTCCCAAGTTTTTTTCTCCATTCTGTCACCGAATGAGTTTTGGTTCCTTGCCGCTGTCGCCTCTGGCTTGCTTAGTTGGGGACACTTCATTTCCAGCGATATCGTCGCCTTGATTGCACAGATACTATTTAAACTGAACTGAGCTGGATGATGACATCACTGAATTCAACGATGAACTGCCTTTAACTGAAAAATTAGTGTTTACTATTGTCATTTTGCATTATTGACACACTATTTTCCTAATTAATGCTGTTCAGTTGCTTTGACACAATCTGTATTGTTAAAAGCGCTATATAAATAAAGGTGACTTGACTTGACTTGACTTAAAGGCTGATTTACTTATTTAACACAAATCAATGCAAAGATTTCTGTAGTATTAAACATAAATTAGTACTGATGAAAACCTCAGATTACCTGTTTTCCAAAAGATGTATTCATGAACAGTCTCCAGAGCAGTGGTGATATGAATCTTTGAAGTCTGTGTAATGTAGCTGAAAGCAACCGTCTCCTTCCCTCTGTCCCACCAAACAGGACTCTGCTCCACCCCACAATGATTTGATGAAAACTTGACAGCTTTCTTCCTCACAAATTCGTGTTGCAATTCAATTTGCTGTATTTAGTCTAAATATTCAGTCTGAATGCCAAATGGCTCAGTGATTTTCTGGGCTTCATCAGAACAGAACTGTAACTCTGTCCATGTTTGTGTAATAATATTAGCGGTTTTTTTTTTTTGAAGAGCATAAAAAGAGTTGATGTATTTTACATACAGTAGATTGTCATCTCTGAAAGTGCAGAACATTTCATATGGCATGGCTGGCATTCCAGTTTGTCTTTTTAAAAGATGATGATGATGACTGTGTCAAATCTCCATAAAGGATGCACAGAAAATGTGTCAATACAGTTTAATGCATATAAATATTAAAAGGTCAATTATTTATGTATTATTGCTCTTTCATATAAATCATGATCATAATACACAAAAGCATGTAAATGGTGGTCAAATTTGTAATCAGTGGGGAACTAAGAGCATCGTTTCATTATGTCACAAAGGTTAAAAAAAATTAACTTTGTCTTTTTATTATTATTTAATTTTTTTATTTTATTTAATACATATTGTACACATCACTTAGCTGGCATTAAATAGTTTAATGTAGCTTTTAACATGCACATTTTTTAAATGTTGCTTTTAGCATTTCTTTAGTTTCACTTGAAATAAATCCAAAATCTAGAAATTGAATTGGGAACAATATTTTTTTATTTGCTACATTTGTTTTTGTTGCTTCAACAATGTTTTACTCTCACTGTCTCACACACTCAGGTAAAGTCATCACTCCATCATTACACTGTTGTCTTGGGGGAACACCTCTTGAAACTTTGCCCCTCTGACACATAAAGGTGATGTGATCATCATGTGGTGCGAACATCTTTTGTCGATTAGCATAGGCCAACTCTAAACCTCTTCTTTCCATTTCCTCTACCGTCACTGTACAGGGCTCTGAAATAAACCCAGCATGTCACTATCAGTGTCACAATATACATTCATTAACTAATCATCACAACCTACAACTTAAATTACAAGACTACATCATGATGTTTTTATATGATATATTTGGTGAAGCGTGTTCATACTTACTTAAACACCTAATCTTCCCTCTCCATTCTCCTTGCTCACAGGTCATGTATTTGGAGAAAGATGGACGCAGATCCAAAGTGTATTTATTAAAGCAGCTGTATTCAACTCTCTCCCCCGTATTGTATTCATCTTTTTTCAATTCTATTGTATCTGCAAAGTTCACGTCTGGTGGTGGTCCACACCTGGTGGTCTGACCTAGAACATGTTATATATTTAATACACATTACAAATTTGAGAATGAGGTAATCTGAATAAAATGTTTAAGAAAAAGACAATATGTTGAAGAGATATTCAGAATATATTACATGATATCATATAATGATATGATATACACACATATGATATAATGTAATATGTTATAATAAAAACTAGATCCAAATTAAATTCAGAAACTGTAAAATTTGAGTCGTGTTTATTTATCCATGCAAACTTGTCACCTCGGTGCTAGTTTATAGGTTGTTTTGTGCGGTTGCTAGGTTGTTCTGGGGGGTTGCTAGTTGTTTGCTTCTTGGCTCAAGTGAAGAGAAACTTGTGTACTGATGAGTTTTGTACCAAACTTTAGCATCTACTTTAAAATGAGCAATAGTGATGCTTGCAGACACTGCTAATAAAACTCGACTAAGTAAACGCTGTGACCTTACCAGCACATTTAGGAAAAGGGTTGCTCCATTCTCCATTTGACTGACAGGTGATTGTTTTCTGTCGTTGTAATGTAGATCCACTCCCAACACATGAAACAGTTATTGTCTGTCCTGGTCTCACTGAGACCTCAGACCCCGGGTGTTTGTCTGATCTCATGTTCTCTGTGAGTTTTGCAACACATTTTGTTTCTAAAAACAGAAAGATCTGGTCAAGCAAGCATCTTCCATGTGTAACACAAATCTATCTTTGCTCAGTCAGAAGCTTTTACTTGCTGTGTGTTTACCTTCACATTTATATAAAGGGTTGCTCCATTCTCCATTTGACTGACAGGTGATTTCTCTCTGTCCTATTAAAATCAGAAAAAAAAGACTATAATCTACCAGCAGGGGCAGAGTGTGGCTCTGAAAACTCCTAACTGTTATGAAAGTATTCTGACATATGTCAGCATGACATCACATGAAGTCTCTATTATTGTGAAGTTTGATTCAATATGTGAACCAATTAATTTGATTACTGTGCTGCATGCATTTCAATATAAAAATAGTATCATAAAATAAAAACAAACAAATTGCATCAAAATATGAAATTATATTATCAAATAGAATGTATAATATAAAATTTAAACAATATTAATTATACAACATAATATATATTGTAGTTAAATATATAAAATACTAACATTATGTAAAATATTTTTGGAGCAATATGCAAAATAGTATATACAAATATATACAAAATATATACAGTGGCTCTGAAACACTTGATTTGATTTTGATTGTAGAGAGCATTTGATTTGACAAAAATGTGTGCAGTGCAGGATGAGTGATCAGTATTTCTGCTGTTTTCCCAGAAAAGAAAAACAAGTAAATTTTAAAAGCATGTAACATTATATTAGCAGATGGACTCAGAGTGCCATACCTCAAATGATGATTTCACTAGGTCTTCACAGCAAATTGAGTTTGTAAATATTGGCAGCACTACCACAGAATTATCTACAGTTTTGATGTTATTCCTTCCTGATTTTCAAATATCTATTTTGATTTTCACCTACAAGAATGCCATTTTATAATCTCTAATTTTAAAATAATTTTCTAATCTGGCATTTTCTAATCTGCAGTTTTAAAATAAATTTTTATCATCACCAAACCAAAACCTCACCTTGACATGTTGGAGTGTTTTCCCATGTTCCACTTTGGCAGAAAACTGTACTTTTCTCATTCATTAAGTATGAGCTTCGACATATGTATGTTACGGTAGATCCAGGTAAATAAAATTCTTTAGGTTCAGATGTTATGACTGCATTTTCCACATTTGGAGGAATGCCACAACGCACCTCTGAAAAAAAAAATATGTATTGAAATTCATGAACTCCAATAAGACTGATTTTAATATTGTTGAGAGATTATATTGTCCAGCCCACTGTATGCACAGCTGCTCCTATTACAAACATGTAATAAGAGTTTGAGAGACTCACCCTTACACACTGGTGTCTCCCATCTACCACTGGTGCATTTTATGAAGGGTTCAGTTGATATGAACCCTGGATCACATTCCACTTCAGCAGTTTCTCGATCACGATGGATTAGTTTTCCATGGTGAACACTGGGAAGAGCACCACAATCTTCCTTCCCTGTAAAGACCAACGACAGAAGCACTTTTCAGTACACTATCATTCATCAAACACCTGAGACTGACAATAATAAAACTCACGGATGCAGCGAGGCTCGTCAGACCAAGATCCTTTGCTGCATGTCACTGAATCCCACCAGTTTCCAGTGAATGGTTTATAACCCGTGTTGCAGGAGTAAAATATTTTTTCCTTATTGAAGGAGTGGCTGTATATGAACCCATTTTCCACAGATAGATCAGGGCACAATTTTTGATTTGCTGTGAGGAAACAGATTTAAAACTCTTCAAAATTCTTATTTCATATGTTGTTGCTATTACTGTTTAGATATATAATAATTTGATATTGAAAACGTTATTCTATCTGTAATGTATGTGAGGGATAATGTACCAGCCGGTTGTTATTGCAGAATAACCCCCGACAAGGTGATCAGGATTTTTTTTTCTATCACCCTGAAGGGGGTTATTCTGCGATAACAACTGACTGGATGTACATTATCCCGCTTATTACACGGCTACTTGCCACATAAGTAAATAATTAGACACAAAAATATTGATTTGAGTTGAAATATTTGAACACAAAGATTCCGTTAAGACTGCAGTTGCGAGCAAGCGGCAAATTCAAACGAGACGGACATTTAAAGGGGTCATATGACGCTGCTAAAAAGAACATTATTTGGTGTATTTGGTGTAATTCAATGTGTTTATGCGGTTTGAGGCTAAAAAAACCCACATTATTTTCCACATAATGTACATTATTGTTTCTCCTCTATGCCCCGCCTTTCTGAAACGCGTCGATTTTTACAAAGCTCATCGTTCT